TTGAGCAATATAGTTAGCCATGTGTTCCTGGAATCATAGTAAGAATAGTTTTCCATTGCAAAACAGTGCTAGGGAGGATCTTTGCAGGAAACTAAAAACAGAACGAAATTTTTTCAATAATTCTGATTTTGTGATTCTACCAAAACACCTGATACATCAGTACTAAACATAATGAATGGTACTGTAATTGGCCATTAGTACGTACACTTATCAACATCAAAGAATACTACTACGAGGCTAAGCAATACAGTTTTCTTGTGTATCAGAATTCAAAATTCTATCTAACTCACTCCTCAAAAGTGAAAATATTGTGAACCGATTTTATCAAATAGCTACACTTAAAAAGAAAAAAAAAAGAGGCAAAAAATACACACATACTCGTCCAACACAACAGTCACTAAGTCCTAAAGAGTTATTCAGAAGTACTACACTAGAAACACACTCATGACACGTCAGACAATAACCTGGACTTTCATTAAATGAAGCCAAAAGACAATTAAAGTCATGAAATAAGGTAAAACGATCATATACAGCTCAAGATTTTTGTCTGCAATACAAAACCGTTAGTCTCCTAACTCCTAACACACTGCTAAGTGATGAACTATCACAGAGGAAATGGTATCCCTATATGATTTTGACAAATAAGTTATAAGAAATTGGGTCATTCTGTCCTCAACAAACTTAGCCAGGTCAAGAGACAATATGACACCAAGTTTTTCTATTAACTATTTTCTAGGCTCAAAACAACTTTACACCAGGCTTCTTTATAATAATTTCAGATACAAGCTAAGAGTCACATCCTAATACTAAATCATCCACAAGACCCTTGAATTCAATGAAAATTTAAATGATGATAAAAATTCACAGTACACAGGGTTTAACACATACACAAAACAGGTCATATTAACACTCCCCTCCTTCTTTAGTGCTCCCACTTAGTATATATCTCTATTTAATAAAACTATTTAATGAGTAATCTCCCCCCATAAGACTGTAAACTTAAGAACCAAAGATCTACCCTGTTCATCTTTTGTATCCTCATTGCCTAGAAATGAATGCCCTGGTCATAAGAGTCTTCAATGAGCACTGAGTGAACAAGAACATAATGTCTACATCACAATTGTATAGAAAGGTGAAGTAGACAAACAGGAAATCAGGTAAACAGAAGATAAATTTTAGGACAAAACAAAAAAACAAATCAAATATAGAGGCAGGAGATATAACAGAAAAAAAGCACTGGTCTGGAGGGGCTGGGATGTCTTTGGAATTTATACATCAATTCTAATCCAGATTTTGGCAATGAAAAATGTTATAACCTTGAGCAAATCACTTTGTCTCCCTGGATCTCAATATCCTCATTTGTAAAATAAAAAGACTACACGAGCTCTAAGTCGTCTTATAAGCCATAAGGATGATTTTAAAGCAGCAGAAACACGTATTCCTGAAAAATAACATCAACAGATCAAATATAATACCCCATGTGAGATAGTATAACTCTTTTGAGCAGAGGTTATCAGTCAGGTGGGACGCACAACTCCATAAATAGTAACAGGTCACATCAATAGCAGCCACAGGCAATCAAAAATTATATATACACAAGTGTAGAAATCACTGATATATTCACTCATTCAATAAATCTAAAAAAGAATCAAGTTTTGCCAAAAGCAAAGGTTCAGAGATCTGAAGAGGAAGAGACAAAAGACAAAATTCTGTTTCTCATTGTCTAGTAGAAATTATGACAACATAGATCACATGTAGCACGCATGTGCACACGTGCATGCGCGCTCACAGACACACACACACACACACACACACACACGCAAACAAAAAGCATCTTTATACTTTTTATTAATTGAAAGACACCTTAAAATGAAACACATAATTTAATTACTTGGGCTAGAACAGACCAACATTTCCCAATATTTTAGCAAAAATTACATTTCAACTATATGCACACTAGGGTACATTCTCTCTGCCCCACAAGAGGAGTCTTGTTGAGACATTAAGAACCAAATGTGCAAAGGATCAAAAACATTCCTAACCTTGAAAACCAAAACAAGGGGCGCCTGGGTGGCGCAGTCGGTTAAGCGTCCGACTTCAGCCAGGTCGCGATCTCGCGGTCCGTGAGTTCGAGCCCCGCGTCAGGCTCTGGGCTGATGGCTCAGAGCCTGGAGCCTGTTTCCGATTCTGTGTCTCCCTCTCTCTCTGCCCCTCCCCCGTTCATGCTCTGTCTCTCTCTGTCCCAAAAATAAATAAACGTTGAAAAAGAAAAATTAAAAAAAAAAAAAAAAAAGAAAACCAAAACAACTCACAGACCTATGTTCCAACTACATTAGCAAAATAAACCTTTGCCTTAAAACAAATGAATCTTCTGCCTCTGATAAATAATAGTAATTTTCATCTTGAGGACTACCAAACTCATACCATAGTATCTATAATCAATATTTTTTAATATAAACTCTGTTCACAGTACTAGGCTAACTATCATAGAAGCTACAAGAGAACTAAAATGGAAGATGCTTGCCCACAAGAAAATCTTCCCAATCTTACTTGCCAGGTAGTTTTAGATTACTGTAAGCACACAGTCCCATTTCTCCAATATCCCTCCCAAAAACCTGGGAAGAAAGATGAGCAATTCTAATATCCATTTATACTTCAAAATATGTTTAAAAGTTAAAGGAGGTCCTACAAAACAAATATTATAAACATGACGAATCCAGTTATATAGGAACAAAACATATTGTACCCCAAAGGACATTTCTACAAAGGCAGCAAGACAGAGCATCCTGAATGAATAATCTTACATGTAGGAATATTTTACAAAAAATAGAAATATTTTGTCAGCCATCACAACTATAAATCAAAATCATTAAAGAAGGAAACAAACAAACCACCAGAAGACTTAATTGATATAAAATAAAGTTGAAGAAATTACTATGGGTTCTAATAATAATACCTCTGATTTGTGGGGCGCCTGGGTGGCGCAGTCGGTTAAGCGTCCGACTTCAGCCAGGTCACGATCTCGCGGTCTGTGAGTTCGAGCCCCGCGTCAGGCTCTGGGCTGATGGCTCGGAGCCTGGAGCCTGTTTCCAATTCTGTGTCTCCCTCTCTCTCTGCCCCTCCCCCGTTCATGCTCTGTCTCTCTCTGTCCCCAAAATAAATAAACGTTGAAAAAAAAAAAAAAAAAAAAAAAAATTAAAAAAAAAAAAAAAATAATACCTCTGATTTGATTATTGATACCTAAATCTTCCTCTCAAATTTTTCAAAAGGAGAGTAAAGTGGGAAAAATCAACTTCAAAGTTTCAAATTTAAAGTTAAGCAACATTTCTACTCCTTGTTCATATATATAATTAATATCCACCTGGGTCCTGATAGTGGCAGGACATAATTGGCTATGCATGTCAACCTAGTTCAAGAAAGTCCAAAAACCCACTAGGTTCAGCTATGTAGCATTCCAATGCTACTAATTATGTATAGACTATAAGTTATTTCATATGAATTTTAATCTGTCTAAAATTTTCAGTTCTATCTCTATGAATTATATCCTAAATTCCCTTTAACATTAACTGCTCAAACAAAACAATTCTGGTTCTCTTCCACACAACTCAAGATCAGGCAAAGACAACTCTACTGGTTCCATTGTTTCATGATAGAATACTACACTCATTGCTTTACAGCCTAGCAAGCACTTTGACCTATATTATTTCATTTCAGTCTTCCAACAAAACTATGATGTAAGGCAAGAATTGCCAACTTATTTCATGGACAAGGAAAGCATATTGGAGAAGTTAGGTAACTGGTACAAAGTTCACTGCTAGAAAGTAACCGAACAAAGACCAGAACGCACGCATCCTGACTCCGTGTCCAAGTGACATTCCACAACATCACATGAATGAAAGTATTTCTAAAAATTACTAAACTTAAAAACTATACTCTTCTTACTTAATTAAGCCCTTTGTAAATACAAGAATTAAGATTCTAAAGCAAATGCAAACAGTAAAAAAAAAAAAAAGTAGTCTAAAACACCTCCCATCTATATCAATATATTCTGAAAAACAAATACAGTTGCTCCTTGAACACAAATTTGAACTGCAAACATCCACTTGTATACAGATTTTTCTCAATAAACACAGTACAGCACTATAAATGTATTTTGTCTTCCTTATGATTTTCCTAATAACATTTCTTTTCTCTAGCTTACTTTATTATTAAGAATACAGTATATAACGCATATAACATATAAAATATGGATTAATCGACTGTTTATGTTATTGGTAAAGCTTCCCATGAACAGCAGACTATGAATAGTTAAGTTTTGGGGCAGTCAAAAGCTATACACAAATTTTTAACTACAAGGGAGTCGACAATCCGAACCCCCACACAGTTCAAGGGTCAACTGTATCAAATACTACAGTAAAAACAGCTTAAAGTTAAAATAAGTCTATTGTAGCCACTCTATCATACCACACGCAACCAATTCTGCATAAAGAATGCTAGCAGAGAATAGGTGAGGCTAGCTTTAAGTCATGACTTGAATAAAAGTGTCTAAAAACCTTCAGTTTTCCTAGTCTTAAACTCCTCTTGGCTTTGCTCTAGTCTAGTCTAGAAGTCTCCACAGTAGAGTGCACGTGACAATCCACTGAGATATGGAAGAAATTATCAGCGTGCTGTGCCTATTTTTTTTCAACCTGAAAATAAGATTTCATTTTCACTAAATTTACTGTATGAACTGACACTGTCACCCTCACATAAACTCAAAAATACACGTGGAGTTGGAGAATGGGGGGAGGCTCAAAGTTTTTCACAGAAATTCCTATTCAAGAAAATCTGGAGATCACTGCTATGAACAGAGAAGGTAGATAAGTCCTAGGAGACAAGTGACTCTAGACCGCATCAAATAATCAAACCTATTTAAGGTGTTCAGTACCCTACAGTACATATACAAATAATAATTTTTCAACTGCAATTGCATAATCTATGCTGATAGGAATATAACTTACCTCATCCTGGACTCCACTGTTAGTAGTCAGCTTGCTCCCATCAGTAATTGTAATAATTATTGCTGGCTCCAAAAAAAAAGGGTTTCGTCCCTAAAGTCAAAAACACATTAATTACATTAAGGTCTAGACATCAGCTTAATTTTTCTGAGTAAAAAGCCAATTCTTAGAACACTGTATAAATCCACTTTTCTTGTTATTAAGTTTTATATACTGTATATACCTTTTGTACATTAAAAAAAGGTTCAGAAAGAAACATGCACTAAACAGAAGTTAACCTTAAAGAAATGGGATTAGGTAGAGGAAAAGTTAGACTTTTCACTTCTTTCTACATTTTTCTATCATTTTAATTTTTTACAGTGAGCATTTATACTTAAATAACTAAAAGTACTTAATTTTTTAAAAGGAACTCTATAGCTCAATTCTAATAATCTTATTTAGATATTCAAAATTAAAAGACAGTATTTTTCTGAAAAACTTGTTAAAGAGAAAGGCAACATAGTACATGAAGATAACAATGCAATGTAATTTATGCCTGTAAGCAAAACATCTAACCAAGTGACTGGATATATGCATGGAAGAGCTCTAAAATCTGGTTCCATGGGAACACAAGGGCTACTCTAAGGTTAGTGAAATTTAATGATAGCCCAATATGAAAAATTAAGAAGGATGGTTACTTAAATTGCTCGGCAAGAGAAGGTACAAAAACAACAGTGACAGAGGCAATGGAAGACAAGTGACACAAAACTCTCAAATGCTCCATATATAAAGTGAAAGAACTTCGGTAACTTCCACTCAAATCTCTGGCCAAGTTACTCAGTATGATCATCAATTTTAAGGGACACATTCTATGAGGGAATCAGATAAACATAAACTTATCTTTTACATATAAATGGCTCTCATTTAAGATATTAAGGCACATTTAAGACAAAATTATGACCAAAGGCTAGAATTTCAAGACAGTAAACCTTGTGTTTGAAAATTATCAAATTCTCTGCCATTAACACATTCAAGAAAGGATGGAATGAAGTTTTGCTGGATATGATGCAGAACAGCATATGACAAATTTTTTTTTTTTAATTTTTTTTTTTTTTTTAACATTTATTTATTTTTTTGGGACAGAGAGAGACAGAGCATGAACGGGGGAGGGGCAGAGAGAGAGGGAGACACAGAATCAGAAACAGGCTCCAGGCTCTGAGCCATCAGCCCAGAGCCCGACGCGGGGCTCGAACTCACGGACCGCGAGATCGTGACCTGGCTGAAGTCGGACGCTTAACCGACTGCGCCACCCAGGCGCCCCAACATATGACAAATTTTAATGTGTATATGAATCACTTTGATCTTGATAAAATGCATGTTCTAATTCAGTAGGTCTGGTTCAGTAGGTTCCACATTTTTTTTTCTAGTGTTTGTTTATATTTGAGAGACAGAGCGTGAGCAGGGGAGGGGCAGAGAGAGACAAGAATCTGAAGCAGAATCTGTTCTGTCAGCACAGAGCCCAACACAGGGCTCCAACACTCGAACCGAGATATCATGATCCGAGCCGAAGTCAGACGCTTAACCGGTACCAGGCACCCCTAAGGTTCCACATTTCTAACAAGACTGCAATGTAGGAGATGCTAATGTCCACAAACCATATTTGGAATAGCAAGGATGTAGAAGGGTTATATGCATGTAATATTCTATAGTTCAATAAACTTCCCTTACACTTACATAGCTCTCAGTCACTAGCATATTACAGCACATACTCTATTTGTTAAATGTATTTACAAACACTTCACATACACTGTGATTTTAACTGATCTTCATAAAGTGGGAAGGGGAGATTTGGCAGTTTAAATTTCTTGATCAAGTCATACAACTTGCAGGTGGTATATACATTTTTCAAACAGGTGTCCAGGAAATAATGATTCCAAATGGGGAAAGCAACCTCTGGTCAAATTAAAATATGTTGGCTATAACTTTTAGAAGATTTCGAGTGCACAGAAGCATCCAAATGTTACAGAAGACTTGCAGGGGATTAAAAAAACAAACAAACATGAATTTACCTTCCCTTCCTTCTCCACAACATTCATGGTAAGTGGAATACATTTGGAGAAACATTACACTATCCTACCTGTCACAGCATTCACCCCCAACATAAATAATAAATTCTAATAATGTAAGTCTTCTCATAGATCTATAAACAGGCCATGTTCATTGTCACTGCTGAACTTCACCTGGTTCCCTCTCGTAGAATGTCTTCCCTTTTCCCTGCCCACAACCCACTCAATTCCGAATTTTTCTTTAAGGCCCAGTTTAAGTCCTCTTCTTCCGTGAAGCCTTCCCTGATTAGTCTGCCCTTAAATAATTTATTGTTCTCCCTCTCCAAATTCTAATAGTGGCAATTTTCAAACTTAATAAAAATATAGATACATAGAATGTTTCTTCAAATAAAACTGGATTTGGAGTGGTGTCACGGAGTACATTTTGTCTCTTTTTTTTAAGTACATTCCATGCCCAATGTGGAGACTAACACAGGGTTTGAACTCACAACCCTGAGATCAAGGCCTGAGCTGAGATCAAGAGTCAAATGTTTAACCAACTGAGCCACCCAGGCGTCCCCATGGAGTACATTTTGAATACTACTTCCCTGCATTTAACCTCTCTCCTTCTCAAATTATTTTTAATTTAAATATACAACACCTTGCACAATAATGTGAATATACTTAACACTACTAAATTCCACACTTAAAAATGGTTAAGATGGTAAATTGTTATGTGTATTTACTATAGTTTTTTTAAAAATACACCGTCTTGTATTGTTCACCATTGCTTCCTGATTCTGAGTAAACTGAAGTCAAGGAGCATGTCATTATTTCTTCCTCAGCACTGAGCACAAAATATTTAAGCACTGGGCACTTAAAATACTCATTGATTCACTGACTGAGGTTTAATACAAACCTGCCCAAGTTCATGGAACCATTGAGAATTTTTCAAACTTCAACAAGCTTTGAAAGAAGATATAGATACTTTACCTATATCTCAATATAAATGAGTGCTTCCCTAGCTTAACACATAACAACTCATGAATTTGCTAGGATACAAGGGTACACTGCCTCTGTCCTGTGTCAGTCTAGCCATCCGCTCTCCATTTACTCATGTTTGTCACTCAAATGTTTACTGAGTGGCTGCCATATGACAAGCAGGTGCCTGATAATCCAATCTCACCAATAATAAATGTACCTATGTACATAGAACTCTCTTCTCCTGGTCTCTACAAATACCACGATAGATCAAAAATTGGCAAAGGGAGATAAAGAAGGCCAAGATATCCTGATAGCTTCAGAATTATTTTATCTTGCTTCTACCCTTAACCTACAACTATGTGGACCAAATAATTGGAACAGTGCTTCTGTAGCACCTCTGCACCTAACTCAAATTTTCTTCTATATTTTCTGAATGAAAGTCTGACATCAATTTTTATTCCTGTATAAGCACACTGAGAATTATCCTTCAGAGGCCAGTCGGTTACATTTGTAATTAAAGAACAACGATCTATGACGTATTGAACTTTATGAATGGTGATATGCATCCAAAAACCAGTACATACTTTAAGGACCATCATATCTAAAAATCAAGTTAAAATGTATTATAATTCAGCAAAGCCTTTGAGTTAAAATGTAAGCTAAATTAAAACATCAAAATATAAGTGACTCTTTCCTTGATAACCAACTTTTAGTTGAAACTTTACTGGAGTCATACACATAGTACTCTCCATAGCGACTATACCTGAAATTACTAATAATCAGGTACTTGATAATAACAATAAAACAGTCACATGATCTCATTTAACCCTAAAAACATGGTACAGTAAAATATTCACAAGATTAAATAATATAATCCAAAGTTATCCAGCTGGTAACTAGCAAAGCCAGAACCTTATTCCAGTTCTAAATATCATGGTCTTTCCACAGCATCTAAAAGTCCTGTTGGTAGCAACTAAATCCTCTTGCATACAGTTCTACACGAACCTAGACTGTGCCATGTTCACAGAATAATGAATAGCGTTACAATCAGTTTGGTTTTATTTAATATATTCTATCTACAGCAAAATTAACTACAGTGGAGCTATTCCTTTACTTGGTTTCCTGTTGTTTTGTGATTTCTCACCCACAAAAAAAAAAATTTTTTTTTTTTAGAGAGAGAGAGAGACACCAAGAGACCATGAGCCGGGGATAGGAGCAGAGGGTAATTAAGAGAGAAAAGAGAGAATCACAAGTAGTCTCCACACTTAGCACAGAGCCTGATTCCACAACCCTGGGATCATGACCTGAGCCAAAACCAAGAGTCAGACACTCAACTGACTGAGCCACCCTGGTACCCCTAAATTTTCTATATATAAATCAATATACCTCTCCCCAACAAAAACACACTGCAACAAAATACAATGTAAACAAAATGGAATGTTTACTTTTGAAAACAAACGTCAACCAACTTTCAGACAGCATAGGTACAAACTCAAGGTAAAACAATACTAAGATCTTTAATGACTTTAAATTTTGGAAAATTGAGATAAAGATCAAAGGTAGAAAAAAGTAAAGAAAAATATGACCATCCTCATTTCACGTATTTAATTATTTAACCCTAACATGGCTAATTATTTAATTATTTAATAAAATAAATTATTTAATAAAATAATTATTTAACCCTAACATGGCTAAGATCCCTTCAAGAATCACACTAAAAAAGACAATAGGATTAGTCATGATAAAAATTAGAATAATAATGACTTACTGCACATATATACAAGAGGACAGTTTTTATTTCTTCAGGAACAAATTATCCCTACCTCTATATAGAAATATAAATGTTAGAATAAATTTATTTAAGCATAAATTTCTAAATCACCTGCAACAAATGATCAGATGATGTTGCTCCAAGACAGTTTTCTTCTATACAGTTTACACTGCTCCTCCCCCGCCTGTGAAAGTGCATTTATGCTTGGCAGAAGCACAGGAAATAACTGGCATCTTTCTCACACATTTTTACCCAGTAAATTAAAGCACATTTCTGGTTGTCTACCAGTATCATGAGACAATTTTCATGTGTTA